CATATTCAAACTGTCCTTTTCGTGTAAAACTTGTAGTGTTTCTTCTTTTATATCTACAACAGGTTGAGGGTAGACAAAATTGGTTATTTCTGTCTTCCAGAAATGTCTCGAATAGTTCCGCTGGATCTTCAAATCCTTTCAATCTTAGAGAAATTTGGATGTGGGAGTGTTCAAATTCAGTATTTAAATAACATACAAATTTTGACCACTCCCACCTCGGTAGGGAGTGGTCGTAGAGCATCGGTCATCAGGACCAATTTGGTAGCCCTTGCTATTAGCTTTCGAATGACACCAATATTGAGGGTTCATGAGAACAAATTATTATGACCTGTGACCTATGACCTCGAAATGATCTGACCTGGTAGCTTTAACCTCAAATTTCTATCTAATTGGAAAATCTCCTACAACTTTTAAAAAAACGCAAAATGCGTACGAAATGAATGGACAGACCCATGTTGGCCCGGTGTGTTTATGATGACAAAATGAGTGAATTGCCATGCATTTGGGATCAGACAGCCAATGTATTTAAGAGTGAGGTAGAGAGTCGCGGCAGCTCTGGGTATAGATAAACCGATGTAGTTATAGGGTTTTTTCTCAAAAAGGTTGGTAACTAAACAGAATCGCCATGCGACGGCAAGAGAAACCGAGTAATCTCAAATTTATTGGTGCACTTTGACAAAAACGTCCCTAATTTTGATCAGAAGGAGACCTACCACCACTTCAAAAATTAAAATATTCAAAAAGCCCCAATTAGCCGTTACATGGAAATGTTTAATGCTACAAAATATGATGATTTCAATAAAACTATTGGCCCTCTCCTGCAGTCCATCGTCAAAGTGATTAAATATGTGTCCAATGGGTACACGAAGAAGCCGTCTACGTTTAAGCGCTAAGCAGCAACCCAGTTGAAGATATCCAAAACAACTCTTCACAGTACCAAAGCATAAGGGTCGTGGATGTAGGCAATTAAAAAACTAAACCCCCAAAAAACGTTAAGGATAAAAATTCGAGAGCTAAAACTGGTTGCTGAAAAATTTACAAAAAAGTGTGACCGAAAATTCGTGTAATTGGTGATGAAACGTACATCCAGGTAGAGCAAACAGGTGGTACCACCCACCTATTTTTTCACGCCACGAGTCACGAGGATATGAAATATGAAGACATGATCATCTCCAAAGCAAATTTCTGAAAGAAATTGTAGTTTGGCTTGAAATTGACGAAAATGTGGCAATTTTGAACCTCCTTAGTTAAGATAAGATCCTGACCTCATTTCTCTACATATCGAAATGTATCAACTACCGATTAATTCCCATTATTAATTGGCCATCAGGAACGACCAGTCTTGCTTTGACCAGACGTGGTCAGTTGTTACTATCATCGAATTGTTACTAACCCACTGGAGCAGAAAAAAATTAATTTCTGGACGAAACCTTGAAGTGTCACCAATGTCCCCAAATCAAAATGATTTGCATTCTTCTTGGCGTTTTGTAAAAGAGAATATTCAAGACGATAGGAAGCATAAGAAGTCTGGTTGGTTTTCGACGTATCATGACTTAAATCTTGAAGAGTGTGACGAGAAAGTCAGGCAAAGTAGCTATGGACCATGGTTGGGAAACCCTTCGAGATCTGGTTACGAAGGTATCTACAGTGGTAAAATGGTTTAGTTTCATGTTGACCCTGTTGATGTTTCAGTTGAAGTTGAAGTTTCAGGTTCAACCTGAAACATTGTCCTTAACCTATGTTATCCCTTAAAATAGTAACGATATATATATTCTAAGGCATTTTGTTGCAACATGGCTCTGCAATACATAGATTAGAATTCTGTATTGTTTATTATTGAATCATCAACCCAATTTGCCCTAAAACGGGTTTCCCCTTCTCAGGTTTGGTGCACCCAACCAGAAATAGGGTGGGGAAAACCATTTTCTCCATTTCATTTTCCCATCTTATTTAACCCGGTGTTTCACATTGTTGGGTGATTTCTCAACTAGACCGTATGGGGCCGTCCATAAATTACGTAACGCAAGAGGGGGGTGGGGGTCTAAGGCTCCCATGATATCGTGCCTATGTTACGCATGTTAAAGGGGGAAGGGGGGGTCTAGAAAATCGCAATTTTTGCGTTACGTAATTTATGGACGGCCCCTATGTGCATAAATTTTGGCCCACCTTTTTCCCGGTACTTCCTCTCAATATCGTTCGAGCCATTCAAAATCCATGCGACTTCTCGAGGGACACGGATAAGGTGTAAGAGACCGAATGTAATACAGATTCCAATCACGAGAAACAACAACATGAAGAGATGTTTCCAATTCTCTGCCGTATCGAATTGATTCTCCCACTGAATATTAAACCAATTCAAAATTAAGATAACTGGTAACAGGATAACTCCAAAGGCACAAATTATTTGAAGCGATGCCAATTTTGAGTTGGCCAGATGTATGAAATTTCTATTATCAAGGACGAAGGGGAACGCGTGGACACGAAATATCGCTCTTACAACGTCATTGGCTACCGATGAATAGGACGAAGCCATACCTAGGAAATATGAAATAATACAAAATTTTAGATTCTTGAAGGTTAAGATCCCTCGACGGGAACAATCAGCTAAATTTGACAACATTCTCGTACTAAAAAGAAGTGGTTAAATGGAACCAAGTATTTTGAAGGGTTTGATAGAATGAACTATTTGGCCCTATCTGCCGAAGGAAGTAATCAACTTTATTACTAGTTTTGAACAACTGGAGTGAATTTATGAATTATTAAAGCTTCAATAGATAAAAAGTCGCCGAAATCGGGTTTACACATATTTAAAATTTCAGGTTATGGAACTATTAAACTCTAAACGATTCTATCTCACATGCAGTAAAGTTGACGGAATGGTTTTTCTACAGATTAAAAATTTCAGATTAGGGAATTATTAAACTCTAAATCCCACATTCAGTACAAGACGAAGCAATCACTTTGTCACTTCAGAAATAGACTTGTGCAAAAATACTTACATATGTACATATATGCATATAAGCGAAGGTTGTCGCCTATTTCTGCGTTTTATTTGCTTCCCTTCAATTCAGTCATATTCTCCGACAAATATTATTGAATGTCTACAAATACAAGGTGAATATTTTAATTTTCAACCATTTTGCGAACGTGACTTTCAATATTCTGAATTTTTTACTGCCAAGCCAGACAAAAGTATTTAAAAATGGATAGACACGGTTATGTCAGCTAAATTTCCATCCATCAATCCTTGTGTGCCAACGAATTTTTAATTTTTTATGCCCACCCAGGGTTTATGTAGGTACCCGTGATGCCCGTCATTCAATCCGTATGTACGCACTTTAAAACGGCTGAATCGATCAATTTTTCACTTTTAAAATCCAGCTTTATGATAAAACATGATTAAAACTAAATAATTATATTAGTTCCAGTTTCTGACAGACACTTTCTGTCTTCTAATGACAAACATATATCCAACTGCAGCCTTTTGTAATGTAATAAGACTTGTATGTATGTATGTATTTTGGGAGGAGGATCCCTCCTATAGGAGGATAATATAGGAGGATCCCGCTGCTCAAGATCACAAGATCTTGAGCATCGGTTCTTGTAGAATGATCGGTTCTTGTAGAATGAACCTTTTAGTTATTAGTTTTAGGTTTAGTTCGTTAAGAAACCGGATATCCGATGACATCATTCAAATGTTCACTGTGCCTAAGGTCTTCTACGCATACATCAAATTACAGAGGTAGTATATACTCTCAAGAATCTGTAAGTTTCGTTTATGTAGGTCTACTTCCGGGATAAAATTTTACATCTTGGTTCATCCTCAATTAATTTAAAATTAATCCGGATTAATAATCCACGCGGATCAAATTTAAAAAATATTCCCGCGTAAATCTAATCCAAGAAATGGATTAATCCTTGATCTCAGATTTAAAAAAATAATCATTAACCCCGAGAAAAAAAATCAGTTAATCGCCAAACTCTGTTTCCTCTGCCTTGATAAGGTTTTACTAAATTGAATTTTTAAAATGGTCCAGGCGAGTTCTTTGGACCTTTTGCTTTTTTTCGGTGGAACATTGTCTTCGTCCGAAGTATCAGTGCCAGAAATGTAGAAATTTACTGGTTGAAACTCATTATAAAAATCGATTTATTCCTAAAAAAGGTTATGTACTTTCAAAAAATCATAAATGTATGTATTTATGACTGAATGGAGATCTGGACTAGAGAGAAATTCGAGATTCATAGGGGGTATTTTAAGGCAGGAATTAAAAATATAAGGCTGTTTTAAGATATACAAGGCTATTCATTCAGTTACTTAAGGCAAGCATTCAGTCCACATAAGGCATAGTTTTTAAGGCACGAGTTTCAGTTATTTAAGGCAGCCATTAATATTTACCCTACATCAAATTCCTAAATTTTTCTTCAAACAACTGTATCTTTAAAGAAGATTTTTGAAGCTGAACAGATTTTCAAATATTTATCATTTTTTACGACATATCTGCAAAAAAATTCAACAAGGTTTCGACTCAAATTTGTCCACAATTGGTACTGATATGCAAGATAGGCATTACATTTTGCTGAAAGACTATTAATTAGCAAAAATATAAATCTGCCGAATAACTACATACGTAAATCATAAAACTCGACAAATTTTCAATCAAAGCTTTTAAAAAAAATATTATTTCTCGCCCCCTTTAATTTACAAATCTTTGACCTCAAATTTCTAGAGCAGATTGTTGCCCATTACATAAATACACGCTCCTATTTTTGACATTTTTTAAAGGATATCGTCTAGAATAACTCACCTTTAAGAACAAAAAATTGCAACTCACCAAAACCCAATTTACAAAATTTCACCACTCTTATATTAATCAACGCATCGACAACAAAACCCAGAGCTTTAAAACAAATTCCCAAGAAATGACTAAATATTTGTAGATTTTACGAATTTGATAATGGGTCCTACCTAAATAAAATTACCCTTTATTATTTCCCCTAGAATGCCCTACACCGAAGCCTTAATCGCCGAAACGCTCCGATTTTCCACCATCACCCCACAAGGCGTGCAACACCGAGCCATCAAGGACCAAGAGTACAAGGGCTACCTCATCCCCAAGGACACCGTCATCACCGCGAACGTCTTCCACATCCACTTCGACCCGAAAGTCTGGGGAGACCCGGAGACCTTCAGGCCCGACCGATTTTTAAGTCCGGACGGAAAAACGTTCAAGAAGCACGAAGCCCTCATCCCCTTTTCAACAGGACGGCGACAGTGCCTCGGCGAATCCTTGGCGAGAGACAACCTCTTCCTACTCGCGACCAACATTGCGCAAAGATTTGAAATCCTGTTTGACAAGGACGGCCCAGATAATGGCTTCGAGTCGAAGTTGTCCTTTATTTTGACGCCGAAACCTTTCAATGTCATTTTTAAGGATAGATTGGCCTGAGCCTAAATAATTTTGTTGTTTTTAAAACGGTGAACAATCAACGAGAAAAGCTATAATCTATATACAAATATTTACACATAACCTGTATGCAATGTCTGTAAAAACTATTATTACTAAAAAGAACAAATATTTATTTAGCAAGATTAAGGAATTATTCACTTTGAGAGATGAGACTTATTTTGAATTTTAATTAAACCTCAAATTTATTACGTTCCATCATCAAAAGTGCTTCTCTTTAGAACTAACATAGTAAAAAAATAATCCAAAATATACCCATAAAAATATTTCAGCTGAAATTTTATATTATATTTTCATATAAATGTTATATTTAATCACAAAGTCCACAAACCTGCTTGAGAAACCCGTTCCACCATCCATTTTAAAAATGTCAGCAAGCATTTTTTTGATACCTTTGTGTGAAAGTACTTTATTTCATAATTCTGTAAATTTTGCTTTAAACGGTTGTTTAAAAATTACACAACATGGGATAAATCTTATCCAATTGTTGAATCTGCGTCCACTTTACTCACATATTAGGAAATTTTCCTCGCTCCTTTCAAAACTTTGGCACCCCAAGCAACAAATTTACCGTATAAATCACCACCTTCTCAAAATACTTGACCTGAATCCCTCTCTCTAAATAGTACAGCCTCCCATAAAACAACATCCCACCAATCTCCATGGCCCTCATCGACTTCAACCTCCTCTTCATAATCCGCCTTTCCCACCCCGTACAAACCACCCACATCCAAACCTCCCAAACCCTTAGGACCCTCTCCGACCTCGTCTTCACCTCAACTCCCACCGCCAACCCGATCATTGCAACGACCACCACGAAAACATTCACCACGGGGAAATACGAGTAAAACCAGACCGGGAAATGATGGTACATTCGAATCGTGACGAACGTAAAGAGAACCGTGGCTCCCATCCCGATTAGAATAAACAAAACGACAAATAATTCCTGAAGACGGCGCATTTTCTCCAAAATGATGAATAATTTGACATATTCGAGCACCACGTGTGCAGACGCCACCTGTAGCATGTCCTGGAGAGCGCCGAGATGAGACAGATGAGCATTTTGAAGAAGGAGAAAACTATCATGAGCGGGAGCGCGTAGAGGCGGCAGCCTTCAAAGTGGGTTGCCATGACGACGTAGAGGAGGACGAGGTAGATGAGGAAGTGGGGGAGGGGGGTGAAATGGGCAATGGAGTGGAGGTGGAGGAGAGGGTCGAGGTTTAGAAAGGAGGACGCCGCGATTAGAATGATGGGAAAGAAGGTGAACTGGTAGATCATGGAGGACATGGCGAGCCAGAAAAGGTCAGGTGGTTGAGTACGTTTAGATCCTGTCAAAAGTTGTAAGAAGTTAAAAAAGTGCTACTCGCAAATTATAACTTATTGACGGAACTCACAAGAGCACGCAAATGTCGCATCGCAACAAAGTTCTAGCTTACCAACAAGTTTGTGGACTGCAATGTGAGTGACTAATTTTTGCAATTCGTAAATTATGAAATAAAATATTTTCTCATCATAAATTGGTGACAATTATGTCATACAAGTTCTAATTAACAGCAAAATATCCTAGATTACGTTAGATCTGCATATTTTGCGAAGATTTGCTGAGATATCAGATGCCTTTTAGTTCGCAAGGTTGGCAAAAGAATTTACATGCATTTTCATGGAAAATGTTCGCAAGTCTGGCAAACTTTTGCAAACTTTGTTGCGAAGCGATAATTCTAAGATTTTGCGAAGTTGTCGTGAGTTCCGTCGTTATAAGTTAGGAATAAACTCAGATGACGTGAAATGAAATAAGTTTGAAAGAGAATGAATGAACTTTGAATGACAAAGTTTTTTGAACAGGTACATATGCGTAACTTACAAAACGTTGATGATAAAATCATACCTTTTGATTCCACCTTTCTAAACTTGGCAAACAGAAGATTCCATCCATCCACAAATCGCTCCCCATGAATCATCAAAGCCAATCCGGCAGACAGATTGTAACACCACAGAAATAAAAGTATTACATGAACCATCAACACGGGCAGCGGAGACAACGTCGTCGATCCATGAAGGACCAGAAGGAGCAGAAAGGTTCCTGCCAAACAGTGCAGCCCGAACCCCCCGAGGACATTGAAGCACCAAAAAATTGATTTTTTCACACTTTTATAATAAACTAATTTTCTTTGAGCAGTTTTCCATTCGATGATCGGATGAGAAAATACTTGAAGGAATTTGTCGTACTGATCCAGTACAGAAATCATCTGATTTACTGCCATTCGAATGATGTAAAAGTGTTCTTATTTCGTAAAAACGTTCGATTATTATATTGAAAAAATCTAGTTTTCCAAATTTTAGCTATACATGGTGGACTAAATGCCACAATGGAAAATTTTTCAATGGGAAGAATTCGTAAATTTCCCTTAATTACGGAAAGTTTGAAAATTTACTGAAAGGTTTTGTCAAAACTGATAGAACACTGACGGCAAAATTTTTAAAATGTCGAATTTCAGGGACAAACTTGCGGTAGTTAATGGAAAAATTTCCGAATTTTTCTCATTGAAACTTTTTCCACTGACATATAAGCCACCCTGTATTATGTGATGTTGTATAAATTAGCTCGATTTTCTAATTCGGATAAATGTAATTTTCAGTATTGGCTAATATTCCTATTGTCGAGTAAGACCGTTGTGCATATTTGTAAAATTGAAGAAATGCAGTTTTCAAATTTTAACTGAAATTTTTAAGTATTCACTCATATGTAGAAACATTAGATTTTAAAAACCTTAGCTAAATTAGCGTTGCAATCTTAATCTTCATTTCTATCTGCTCAACCGTCTCAAATACACTGCCGCGCCCTTTCTAAAATTGGCAAAATAGTCATAGAAATTAAGAAATATTGCTTTATCATGTGAATTATTTATGTTTGTACATACATCTTATTTAAGCATGTAGAGAATGACTCCCATAAAAATTGGGCATACTGTTCCGGCTTAATTTTATGTGCAAGTTTATATTGATGGGAAACCACTTATCTTTGTCCAAGGTTTTCTCAGCCCAACTTCGATTATCTAAGAAAGTGTTGGACACTTTGGCGAAAATGTGTTTGGCGAAGAATAATCGTCATGACAAATGCTATCGGACGAAAAAATTCACCTCACCTACTGCATTTTTAGCGCAATATTTGGAAGGTTCCATTTGACGAAAACAGTCACGTATTTATGGCGAAAAAGACTATATGAGTATGCCAATTTATTATGATAATATTTAGTATAAAGTGCGTAACACTACACCAATTGAAGTGAATATGGCGTCCATTTGCCCAAATTTTCTTTCAGGAGTTTTGCATTTTCACCAAATGTACTCATGCTGTCGATATCGGTTGCTTTTAACACATTTGTTTTACTGTTTTAACGAAAATTTATTTTTCCCAAATCGCATTTCGCCAAACTGTCTAGCACCTTATTCAAATTGCAGAAAATAAAAGCATTTCATATATTACCCTATGAAATGTTGGCTTTTCATTAGGAATTTAACCCTTTTTATTTAAATATTCAAGGCAAGCTACAAAGACTAGGGTTAAGACATTCTACATATTTACATATTTGCATTCACGTACATATGCAAATATATTATACTTGATTACTTATTAATAAATAGATATGCACGTTTCAAGGCTACCCTATTAAGCGAATCGAAGCTAAATAAATATTTACGTACATATGTATGTATATTAAGCTAATCATAGTTATCTACATATTTATGTTCGGGGTTATTCTTAAAATAATATTCAAATCGATAAATAAAGTCTAAAATCTTTCCTTAGAGTTTCCTTCTTCCTACAACTCCTCGTGTTCCAATTATTCCGTGAAAGAGTACCCTGTTAATCAAATTCAACCATTAAACTAATTAACAAAGGAACTGAAATTACCAAATGTGATTAACCGCCAGGCACCAGCTTTTTTTCGTTAATCATATTCATTTATTAAACCCGTATGCATTTTTGTCACTAGACTACATATCTACAACACATTCCCTATGGTGGCTTGAAAAAGGGTTCCATTATTGTTAGTGGTAAAAATGTGTCCTTTTGTTGGAAGTAAAAGGATCAGATTAAACTTATCGTTGTACCAGTTTAGGAACAGAGTTGGGAAAAATCCAGATTAGGGATAGGTGATTATTAATCCGGATTAGAATTAGTTAATCCACAATCCTTAATCCAGTGAGGACAAAATTTCAAAACTAATCCCTAATCCTTAATCCACGATTCCGTCCTTATCAAACTAATCCTAATCCCAACAAAAAATTTTGAAAGTAATCCTTTATCAAAAACTAATCATGATTCGGGATTAATTTTTGTCACAAAATCCTCTAGTTGAACATTTATTGCAAGATTATCTCGCCCAATTTGCATATATCAACACTATTATTCTAGTGGTACAACGAGTCATTTATTCGGCTTAAACTTTTCAAGCATTATTGTAAGCTGTACAACTAAGATCCCCGGGCTAAATTAATTAATGTCATGAATTAATTCCCACTAACTCTTCCTAATTAAACCTTCACTCCTGATATTTCTACCCTTTAAAATAAAAATGGATCAAGATAATTTTGTGTACCATAAATTAAGTGCATATAAAGCGTTATAGTTCATACGTACATATGCACCTTCATTATAATCGGCTGGATATGTACTTCTTCGTTGTATTTCCAATTTATGAAATTTGTTACTTTCTCCATGTTTTTATGTAGTCCGTTTTAAGACTTAATAAATCAAAACTAATCCCTAATCACAAAGCTAATCCGAATTATTTAATTCTAATCCTTAATCCAAGTTTTTCTTCCAAAAAAACTAATCCCTGGAAAATCTAATTTCGGAAAAGAGACCAAATATAATTCTAATTCTAATCCAACAATCCCGAGAAACTAATCATTAATCCCTAATCCGGAGCAAAAAAAAAACATTTAATCACCCAACTCTGTTTAGGAATAATTTTGTG